ATGGTTTTGAGACTATGGCTTATGTTTTTATGTTAAAAGAACTGTAATGCTGATTACCGATAACTATTTTATAAGTAACATAATTTAAAAACAAAAAAAATTTTGGGTCCGATTTTGGGATGTTACAATTGCATTAGGATTAGGTCTTTGGGAACATTCTTCACCACATTCTTCACCACTTTCATTAGGATTAGGTCTTTGTCTTTTGGTAAAAAAACCACTTAGTTTAACCTATAAAAACATAACAATTACACCTAATCAAACAAAGACTTCAATAAAACAAGTTGCTTTCACCTAATCAAACAATAAATTCAATAAAACATAACAATATAACCTAAGCAAACAATATAATTTCAATAAAACAAATCAATTTCACTAAGCCAATCAATAACTTCAAAAAAAAACATATCAATTTTATATACCTAAATGAATTGATAAACTTACTTGCTTCATTCTAGGGCTTTAAAGTCGATTTTGTTAACCAAGAAAGTAGAAATCGAAGGAAGTCAATTTTGTTACTTGCTTCACCCGATTGTTGATCGATCGAACAATGGAAGGATTGGAAGTCAGGAACCGATGAAGGATTGTGCGAAGTGCGAACAGCCGAACAGAAGGTCACGATCCAACCAAGGACGAAGTCGACTAATCGATTATGTAGTCGTTATTTTTTTTTTATTTTTTTTTCCCTTTTTTGTATTGATAATACATTTAGTCAATTAATTAGGATTAGATTATTTTTTTACAAACAATTAGCCCAATTGCTAATTTATCCAATTAATGTTTTATTTGGGGCTTTGGGCAATTGAGCTATTAGACAATAATTGATTAAAACATTGGGCTCATTATTATTTTTTTTCATTTGGTAATTCCCGATAGAGTAACAATTTTTTTTACGTAGTTGCACGATTTTTTTTACGTAGTGGCACAATAGGTAAAAATTAAAAAAAAAAAAGAAAAATTTTCTACTACGTGCGCGAAAGCTAGGTTTTGCCGGTGCCACACCGAGCACCTAGTTAGGACCGCCCCTGATAACAATACATAAAATTACTTAAAAACATATATAAAAATACATTTATACATTGTATACAAATTTTTTAGATAATCTGTAGAAAAATGTCTCATTATTTTAGAAAAATTAATGATTTGGTATAATGACTAACAGATTAAAAAGGACTAAAATAAAGAAATTTGATGATTTATTAGGTTATTATATTAAAAAAAATGTGACTTAATCGTTAACTTTCCTAAAATAATAGGATTTTTCTGGAGATATCTGAACGTTAGGCCACAGGGAGCAGAGTGGGGAAGGAACCGCAACCAGAAACACAACACCGCCACCGCGGTTTAGGTTGTGTAGGAACAGACTGAGGGGAGGCTACCCCGCCTCCTCTCCTTTCACCTCATTGGCCGATTTTTTTTTTCTTTTCTCTTATTCCAACGGT